ATGACACTTCTCATCAGGTGGCCAATAATTATCTACCAAATTCAATTATCTTTTAGAATTGCTAATGACTACATTTGTTTTAATTGTCAATGTTAGTCTTCTAATAGTTAATATGAAAACTGTTCGGCTGAGTTGCTGACAAACTGGTCTTATCATTAGACAAGAAAACGACATTTCACTTAGCGCGCTTGCTAACAGCAAACAACATAATGACATCATGAGAGTCTGCAAAAACAATCTGGTGTGAGTGGGGAGCATGCAAGGGGATCAAAGGTCAACAGCTGTTTTCATTTTGAGCACACAATATTGCATTAATAAATAGTACTTGTTGTGTAGTATATCATACGATTCATGATGACACGCCCCCCGCTTGGCTATCACCGAAGGGTTGGACGAATGCGCATTTGAAACTGGTGGGGTTCAGTACCTCCAACAAGTACCTCCACCTTATACTAAAACTTTTTGGTACTAAGGTCACTTCCTAGATGTTGTTTTTAGCCACTATTAGCCACTTCAGGTGCACAATTTTTGTTATTTTCTGTATGTTTATGCCGAAGTAATGGAAAGTAAGACACTTTGCACAGAGAATTCCTTTGCTGGTAAGGTGTCTTTATGGTAAATTACACAGTAAAGGACAATATCGAATCATCAAAAATGTTTGACACAAAAATACCTCAAACTCTCTCTTTTCCTCCCTCTGTAATTAGTCCATTGATACGTTAGCAATGTCGGATTGGTGCAACCAAAAAGACCAAAAGCTGAATAACAACGCTATCCTCAATTCATTCAAGCAAAAAACCCACTGCACCAGTGACAGGCTGCACGTTGCTGTGCATTGATTTTTCTTTTAAAACCAAAAATTCGATGTAACTGAGTAACGGTAGCAAAAAGATTAAGAAACCGTACTCTCTTAAGGAAGCTATAATAAGCCTGGATGCCACTGCCTGAACTCAGATACAGTAACTCTGGCAAATGGAACAGGTTGTGAGTCTCTCTGGGAATCAATGTGCGTCAATGAAAGAATGTGGGCCTTCCCTCAAATGGATTTCCGAGCACATGTTTCTGCTTTAAAATCTGCCTCCTCCCCTTCCTTGCCTCTGCTCTCCCTCCTGCCTGACACAGATACAGTATATGATGACGAAATAGTGATTATGTTGCACGTTGCATGGCTTAAAGGCCTGACCTCTATCTCAAAAATGATCAGCCTTCGTACCCTATGTACCACGCTGGTTTGCATTAATTTTTCTGAATTCCCTTCTTTGACTACAACATACTGTATACAGCTGGAGGTTAGAAACAAAGGTGCATTGCCTTTTCTTTCACGTCTTTATTAATGGCTGTTGTTACATCAGAATAAGTGCTTCTTTTCCACAATTGCACATGACCCAAAAACCACCAGCTGAGGCTCTTTTTACCCAATAGAAATCTCTGTCCCCCTGAGACCTTCATTAGGACAAACAACCTCTGTCAAAACATACAGTTTCTATGTTGGGGAGACTGCAAACAATTGGACCAACGTCATCTAGAAAACCAAAACTCTGCCTCGGACCATGTTGATGATGAATGGACCAACGTCATCTAGAAAACCAAAACTCCCTAAATTACCCTAATGTTGTAATAGTAAACAATATATTACAACAGCAGCACAACAAATTCCATCTATCGTAAACCGTAACGGGGGGAGAAAAGAAAATCCCAAAATAAAACCATGGAGCAGAGCCATGATATTTTCCAGCCTCCACTTCAGCAGAGGGTCTGTCTTGCCTCTGGCTTGCCAGGCTGCACAGCCCAGCTTTATAAATACTGCACAAGCAAAGGCTTGGTGAAAACCCCCACTTCTCGCAGGTACGAGAGAGTGGAGAGCTTCTTCATCAACAATTCGGACGATGTGTACAAACGAGCTGGGTGTCAAAAGGGTATTTGTATTTCAACGTTTTCTCCCTTGGTTTAGGCTCACTGTTTAGGCTGACTGTAATCCACAGATTGATCAAATGCCTTTCCGGATACGACCCTTCCCGTTAGGCAGTTAGGGCAGAGGATGGAATCCAACCCAAAGCCACTGCATGGCAAGCCACCAACCAATTGGAATGATGAGCCTTTAATCTATAAACTGATCAAATCGTTTACATTGTTACTGACTCATCACAGATAGTGAATCACGACCTTTGACTCTTCAAATGTCTTAGTAATTAACTTTCCTTCAGTTGAGGTTTTTTTTATATGTAGTTTTTATTTTGACTGACCTGTTAGGTTGGATTATAAATCTATCCAGAAAGATCTTATTTTGTTGATTTTGTTCATATGACTTTTTTTGTCAGCGATTAAGTCACTTCATTTACAGGAGCAGCACTTTTATAGAAAATAGTCTAACTGCACCCTCTGTCACACCAGATAAAATGCCAGGAACAGTACCTCCATTAAGTTACCACTTGACGACTAGGGAATGTAACGACGCACCGTGAATCGGTTAGAAATCGATACAAATGCGATACAATTTGCATCGGCTGAAATAAGACATGAGTCGCACGTCAAGGAATATGGAGTTGGCTGAGTTATCTCAAAAAGTCACTGGTCGTACCGTGACACTACAATGTGTACAACAGTAGGTGGCGGTGTACACTAACTAAGTTCAAACAGAACATGGGAAGAACTTCTGATGTGAAGTGCAGTGTTTCTAAGTTTGAGACCCTTGACTTAAAGAAAGGACAGATCACTAATCTGATCCACGTCTGTAATGATCTTCATTTACACAGTTTAAATGTTCTTCCGGTTTGTACCTGGGATTTTGTCAGGTACTCTGGTTTCCAAAGTACACATGTACGTTGAATGGACACTCACTAAATTGACTGTAGGTGTGAATGGGAGTGTGAATGATTGTTTGGACTGAGACCTGTCCAGGGTTCACACCATTTGTCTCCTGCTCGACACAATTCAACATTCAAGTTGTAGGCGATAAATAAATGATTTTCCAGAAAAGGTTAAAAAAAAATCTTAAACTGATCTTAAATTTTTTTATGTGATTATTTATTAGTTCTGATGATAAGACGCCTTATGACATCAAACACAAACATTTTTAAAGGTAATTTATACTATATCCATGGCTCTTGAAGTACAATCTGTTTGTGCATTTCTTATTTCCCTAATCCTCTATCTGGTCATAATGCAACTTAACATGACAACATGATGCTCCAAGCATCTGGTCAACTGTGATATTTCCTTTTTGGAACATTCAAGTTCAATTTTTCATCACTGCTCTCCCAAACATGACAGGACAGAATGGCTAATAGTTCAGAGAGTCTACTTGTTCCGCGTCCCCCAGATATAATTCAGCATGGGAAAACAACCAATCATCAAGTTTGACAAATTGTATTTACTCATCCGGAGATCCCTAATGAGGAAATAAAAAATGGCTATATGGAATAATGAGTGTGATTCCATCTCAGAACACTCTGATAATCGTGTGTACTCTGATAGTGAGGCCTTAATGGGGTCACTGTAGTCCACCAAGACAGAACACAAGTTCAAATGAAACGTGCTTCTAATACACACAATTGTTTCTTCATTTCTGTAATAGGTAACCATGGATGTAAATAGGCCCGGACTTCAATTTATAGAAAGTTTGACTTAAATAATAGGATATAACGTTGTACTTTATACATTTACCTGTCTTGTATTTCACATATGATTTTCCGTTCAATGTGCCAATGTAACTCACATAACACGATAGAAAATATTCACAACAACCTTAACCCCTAAGGTCAAATGAATCCTAAGACCATCAGTTACCACCAGGGAACATTCACTCGGCAGTCATCGGCCCTGCAAACATATTTACTGATACGTCGATGTAATTAAATGCTTAAACCTTTGCTACTGTACATTGTGACCAAAATTGACCCAACACATTTTTTTATACTTATGAATTATAGTTTAAGTACGTTCTAGAATTTAAAAAAATGCTCTCAGTAGTTGTGTATATCTTATCTGCTGCATCTTTAAGGGATTCCAAACAAATAGATCAGACCACAACCTCCATCATGCCATCAAACTGCCATATTTCTATACACAGAATGGTAGTAAATATCAGCTGTTACCTGCAAAAACAACAATCCCCATTTTAACTCCCACAGGCAGTGTTTTTTATTTTATTTAGGTAAAACCATCACTTGTTCGAATAAAACCAAACTCATTGGCATGACTCAAATCCAACATCTCTCCAATCCATTAAGACTTTTACCAACACGTGTCAGGAGGGGGCCTTTGTGAGTCAAACAGTCAGATGAGTGAGGTTTCCATTTAATAAACTCCTCAGAGCGGAGACAAATAGATACAGTTTGCACAACACAAGTCACTTTTTCCACTCTCGCACTACTGCAACCATCTTAACAACACCAGATAGGAGTTTATTATAAGAACACTCTTGTATCAAAGTTTGGAAACACGTGCACAACAGCACCAGCCAGCACTAAGATAAACAGAGGTCTTCTGAAATATTTAGGCGTGACATCACACCACTGCATACTCTCTCTCCCCCCTCTCTCACTTTCTCTCTCTCTCTCTCTCTCTCACACACGGGCACAGTAACTTGGCATGCTAAGTGCTCCTTCCATTTGCTTATCAGCAGCACAAACATAGAACCATTGTACAACTATGTTAACCAAATTAACAACAGCGCACAGTAAAGGTAAACAGCACTATTTGCATGCTGCAAAGTCGTTGCAGGACACACTGGCGTCTCTGTGAGGCTGTGAACACGAGCCCACGGCACAGAGAAGTGCACCATGTATCACAATAATAACACGTATTAGCTGTAAAAAACTGTTACAGATCTCCGTTACACCGACCGTCCCGTGCGTAAAAACAGCCTCTCGTGGCATCAGAGGAAAAAAACACAGATCGCCAAATGTGTTCCAGGCCTGCAGTGGTTGAAAGGTCATAAGCAGAGCTGTAACAGAACATCCACTGTCCTCTCCAGGCGTCTGAAGTTGGAAATATCTTACCTGGTCCCGCGGAATGCAGGGCAGCGAAGTCCTGCGGTGGGACTTGCTGTTGTTCTGAACATGAGCCATCATTTCCGAGGCCGCTGTGGAGCTGGACCTCCGTCTCCTTTTGAAGACAGGGATGTCCTCCTCCCTCGCCCCGGTCACAGACCCACAGCACCCCGTCCCGCTGGTCCCTGAGGCCGGCAGGAGCCGGTCAACATACCTTGCAAGCAAAACCCCCAGCAGCCCCAGCAGGTAGGCCAGGTAGGGTCTCCAGTTGGCCCGGACCCTGCTCAGAGAGACAAGGGAGACGGCCCTGATGACGCCAATGAAGACGAGGATCGACACTCCCTGGCCCAGACGGACGACCAGCAGAGCCCCGCTGCCCAGGCAGCCGAGGACGACCAGGGTTGCGCGGAGAGAGAGCAGCTGCTCCTCGGCGCCGCGCAGAAGTGACTGCGCTACGGCTTCGCCCAAGTGGCACACCGCGAGGAGAAAAAACGCTGTGCGGATAAGGAGCCCGCAGCGAATCAGATAGAGTCCGACCCAGAAGAAGGCACATACGAGAGTTAAAAGTGGGGAGACGAAATAACACGCAGTCAGCAGCAGCTCCACAGCGCAGCTCGCCGTAAAATGAAGAGAAGAACCCGAGCTGCTGCTATTTCCGCTGCTGCCGCTGCCGCTGCCTGCATCCCAATCGACCAATCTGAGCAGCAGAGCGAGAATAACGGAGAAGGAGGCGACAAAGACCGCAGACGACACTCTCCTGCAAGTCCATGTCACAGCGACTCGCAGCCACGACTGGCTCCGTGCGTCCCGCTTGAGCGGGGTGACACATGTCTTCACGTAGCCGTTGCGCTCGAACGCAGCCCGGGGATATTTTTCATGAGCGTTTCTTGACGAGCCTCTGTTGCCCTCTGACTCCAAGGCCATCGCTGTCGGTCAAATATGAGTAGAACGCTGCGCTGACCGTCAGAGTTTCTAATGGGTTTAGCCTCTGTCAGAGTGTCCACCTGGTCCACCTACGTTCCCATGATAATGCATGAGGTCGGTGCACTGCTGACACTCAAGTGTTGCTCAGTGATGTCTGCTGCTTTGACAAACAAAATGACCAATGTTGTAAAAAAAAAAAAAGAGAGAGAGAGAGAAATTTCAAAAACTACTGAATCCACAACTTTTCCTTTAGTGAGATTTAACTGGATCTAATATTAAACTGTCAACCAATCAACCATACGTTCCCCCCCTGACGTTTCACACATTAGGGCCACTGCTTCCACTAATTCAGGTAGTCTCTCCCACACTCCCTCACTTTTTTTTTCTACCCTCCCACCGTAAAACCCCTCTTCCCCCTTTTTGGTAATCGGTCACGTCTCAGCTCTTCTTGATGCTTCACTTCACCTTGCCCTGAGTGTGACTCAGTCACAGTGGATGGATGCCATGTTTACACCATTTCCTGCCGTGTCCTGGAAGAGCTGCTGTGCGAACTGGTGCTGGTCCTGCAGAACATTTCGCAGATACCCAACAATTTATGAGGCTTACAAAGAGCCAAGATGGGACGGACAAATCCAAACAATATAATTAACTGGACAGTAAGGTTATTCAGAAGACATTTACCAAAAATACCTTATATATTTATACTTATATATTCCCTATACAGTGATCCCTCTCCTATCGCGGTAGTTGCGTTCCAAGAATCACCGCAAAATGGGAAAAATCGCGAAGGAGAAGCGAGATGGTTATTATATTAGTTACGTATATATTTACCCTTTGCAAACCTCCCCCACAATTATATGCACAGATGATACGATGAATGAGCCAATCAGCGTGAGGAACGGAAGAGCAATTAGCCAATAGTATGCTGTGTATTATCTCGTCTAGGTAAACAAAGCTACCAGCGATCGTTCGCAAATGCACTTATCTCAATTTTAAAATGAGAATCTACATTTTTAAAGCCACAAAAAAGATCGGATTAAAAATAAATCTTCGATGTAATGAGGTAGCGAAAGGAGAACCACGATATAGAGGGAACACTGTTTATGTTTTTATAACACCTGTAGATATTTTATTAAGTTGAGACTATAAATAAAAGTTCCTGAATAGATAGATCATCTCATTTAGTGTAAAAAATGACATATAAAGTATGTTACCGGACAGTTCCTCATGTGCTTTATCCTCTTTTTCCCTCTAAATAGGAGCCCTTTTATTATTCACATTTTTTGGCATTTTTTATTATTCTTTTTTTACTTTTGTGAAACAGTATCAGTGGTCAGATGGATGTTGACTGTCTTCAACTATTTGACCTTCTGGGTTCAGGTCAAGCAGTGAAAAGGCCGTTTAACAAAACATTTTATTTTCAGTGACGTTTTAATACTCGAAACAACAAGACAACAAACCTTCTGCTAACACAGATTGGATTCAGTTCACTTTTTTTTCTGTGTAAATGCATTTTAAATTTATGAAGTGTCTCTCCCCCGCCCTCTACCATCAGTAGTTTGAGTTATGAGCTAAGGTAACAACAGTGTTTTATTACAGCTGCTGTTATACAACATGGGTCAGTGCAATCAGTCAAGTGCAATCGGGGCATAAACCTCATGTTTCAAGTCGTTTCCATCACTGTGGACAGTGAATATGTAATGGAGGGAATTCTTTTATTTTATTTTAACTATTATTGATCTCACTGTTACCCAGATCGGAAAACATGATTGCAGAATAATACTTTAAAATCCAAAGTAACGGAAAGAACTCATGGGTTATTTATTTAAGTAGGTCAATAATGTCAGCAGTTAGGAAGAAGTTTATCACCGGAGATAAAGAAGGGAGCAAAGAATTACTGCAAGATTTGTTCCGTTACTGCTGCATAAGAGCAATCTAATAAACACACCACAGGCTAACAGTTTAGCGGCACGGTGTTAATTTGTTTATATGTTTTTTGAAACATGGAAGTAGTCTTACTCAGTTTAAGTGACTCGTTTCCTGGAATGCATGTTTTCAGACAGTGTTTTCAATTGAAATGTTCTTTTGGTGGAAACGCTCTGCTCACTTTCTGTTCATCTGACTGTGGTAATCATGCAGACAGGTTTATTTCTTTGCTTATTTATCCTTATCTTGTCATGTTGTCTGAGATGAGATGATGTGTCAGTTGAAATGTCCTTTTGTCAAAGAGTAAAGTTGGCTGTAAGCGTTTCCTGCTTGGTGTCCTCGCTGCTGTTAGGGCTCAGCTCACGCACACTAACACACACTGCACATCACTCTGTCACCAACAGAGCCCGTGCCATTTATATAACACGGACTTCCAGTTCATTGCCATATGTTGAAACCCAACCTGAAGAAGTATCTGTTACATTGCTCAGTATCCGATTCGGGTGCAGAAAAAAAAAGGTTGAAGACTACTGGTCTGAAGTACAGTGAGATGACCCTAAAGGTGTGCTAGGACAACAGATTGAACCACGAGTGACTCCAGCAGGGTCCACTCCTGTCCTGGCTGTACATCACCCTATAAACACGCTATAAATCACACCGTGGCAGAGGTAGCCGTGATAATAGCATTCTTTGGCCTTTGCCCTCGGAGACGATGTCCAGACACACTCTTCCAGTTGTAATGAGGAAGTGTTGTATCAGCGTCATTTATCACACTGAAGTTGTAGGAGAGAACTGGCTGTTTGTGCGTGCATGTGTGTGAGCGAGAGAGACAGGGTGTTATTGTTGCCTCTCGTTAGGCCATCCATATGTCGCTGCTTAAACAAAGTCTCCTGTGCATCCTGACAAAGTACATTTACTGTCATTCTGCTTTCTGTTCTAACGACAGGTCGTCTTTCCGGACTGTTCCTGTGGCCGTGGGTTATATCACGGTCATGTAATACGTACATGTTTTACATGCACACTGTCACTGTGCTGTAGAATCCGATCCTGCAAGCCGCTGTGTATCAAATCATGTATGCTTGCTCATCCTGATCTCCCCGCATCACACACACACACTCAGGTAGCCTTCAACTTGACAATTTAAAATAGTAGTATTTAATAAATTCTATTTTTTTATTTTATATTTTACATAATTGTCAACTCCAATCTAATCCACTCAGCCAACACCTGTGGTGTGGAAGAGTCAGAGGGTCGTGGTGGTTTGTTCGTAGGTCACAGGTTTACGTCCCATCTCTGACAGATGGCTGTTTTTATTCCTTTGGTGAACTGATGACTGTCCGTGCTGTAGCTGGATGTCACCTGAGACTGATCTCAGCGTCGCCCCATGAGCCTTGGCAGGGTTAAGTGCAAAAAAAAAAAAGAATGAATAAAGTGACTGCAGGGACATAGTGTAGAAGCATATGTACCATGACACTGCTGTTGGAGGAGATTAAAAATGCAACGGTTTACATCTGCACACATCTCCAGGCAGATGCCCAAGAGTTGCAATAGAGTTATTTTACTGTTAGGGAAAATACTTTTTAATTTGTCTTGAGTTGCATTTAAAATAATAATAAGGTCATCTCCTCACATATCTTCTCCCCTCCTCCCCTCTTCTCTTCTCTCCTCTGTCATATTTAAGTTTAACCTGAAGTTCTCTCTGTCATAAGTCACAGTAACCATTCCATATAGAAGGCCTTTTTGTTCCAGCAGTCTGATCTGATTGCTGTTAATGAGTCAACACACACTCCAACCCCCACATGTACACACACACCGCTGTACACTGTTACTGTCTCGCTGATTTGTTTTATGGCTGCTGAATTGTAAACCGACACTGAACTTGTCACAGCCTTTGGTTTTATGCCAAGTTATACACATATGTGCAGTTTACAGCCCTCTCCGCAGATATGTGTTCATCAGTGCACTTCTGCTTTTCTTTTAAACATCATTTTCTCACAAGAACTGATTGCCTTGTGTGTGCGCGGCTGTCTATACGACAGTTTGGGAGAGTCATGACTGTTCCTTGGTTATTCTGCTAAACAACTGGGAATGTTATTTGAAGGTGCCTCGTTTTCCTCCGTCTAAGAAAAAGAACCCTCCTTTCATGGGCCTGTGGCACGGCCTGGATGCAGAGACACACTCTAACAGTGAATGACAAGAGACTGTACTCCAAGGACATATGACTCACTGCTCCGAACAGTGCATGGCAAATTAGTGATTGCCCAAAGATTAGTCATGCACGACTATTAGCAAGACGTAGCTCAAGCAAGAGCTCAACAAAATCATGGGGTGGGAAAAGTGTGTGGTTAGGATCATGTTCGTATTTTTTTTTTCTTTGAATGAACTGGAGGAGAGGTCAGTGTAGAGACAAAGCCAAGGAGCATTTAAAAAAGCTCCAGAAGCCAATCAGTTTGAATGCTTCTGTGAATTACTAGCCAAGTACGGAGTGGACTATATGCATGCCAAACAATATAGTATACACAATTCCATCCTCTTTTGCACTTGTAAGTCACTTAATTGCATGAAAAAAAAATCATGGTTCATTTGCATCACTTCCCACAGGAAACTGTAGGGGTGCTCTGCAGTACCTGTTATTTGTTTACAAACTAGAGAAGTAGTAGAGACTACATGTGACTCAGCCCGTTAGTTAGAGTTATTAAAAGAATATATTGTTTCTTTCCAGCAGTGATTCATCTCCAGCCTGTAAGCAGCAGTCTTGACTTTGAGCATACAGTGAACTTATGTCACCAGAGTGATAAGCTGTCTGCTGACCCTCGTACCTTACACGTACACTACGTAACATACATAAACTTAGAATTAACTTAACTTACGTATTTTTTTTAAAGTTGTCTATTTTTTATTTATTTATTCATTTTTGCTTTTTTTTGTATTCTTTCTTTAGCGGGCACCGCGCTCATATTTATCGACAACTTCATGCTTTATTTCCGTGGTCATCATGCGTTTCTTCTTCTCTCTACCATCCTTACCACTCACTCTCTTAGGACTCATCACTATGATGAAGAATAATGCACGAA